AGTTGCAGACATCTTGAAGGCTCCACCACCTCAAGATAAGTACCAAAATCTCAAGTCTAACCTAATAAGTAGACTAACAGCCTCCGAAGACTCTCAGATGCACAAACTGCTCACTGATCTAGAACTAGGTGACCGAAAACCCTCACAGTTGCTTCGTGAAATGCGAGCCCTTGCCGGCAATCGTGCTACAGAAGACGTGCTCCGCTTACGATGGCTGGCCCTTCTGCCTGTCAGCATTCAGCACTTGCTGAAAATTTTCAAGGCCAATTCAGTTAACGAATTAGCTGCTGCAGCTGATGAGCTCATGACAAACATCCCTGGTGGCAGTGTCATGGCCGTCAACCAGAGCTCTCGCCAGCATGGACATGGTTCTTCAGTAGCCTCCGAGCTGAACGAACTCAGACAAGCCATCACAGAACTAACCATTGCTCAGAAGGACCTCACTTCTGCCATCAGACAGAGTCTCACCTCTGCCAGTCGACAACCACGTGAGCGTTCTGTCACTTCTGGAGAATGCCGATATCATCGAAAATTCGGTGCCCGGGCCCAAAAATGTGTGCAACCCTGCACATCTCAGCTGCCACTAGCATCTCCGCGCCAGGAAAACTAAATATGCTGTCGCCTGTTCAGGTGGTAAGCGACAGCAATGTCAACAGCACCTGCCTCCCATCTAAAGAAAGTCGCCTGCACGTCATAGACAAGGTCACTGGCATGAAGTTCCTTATCGACAGTGGTTCCGTTGTATTCTTTCAACGAAAACTTCTGCCTGCTGACCTATGCAGCCAATGCAACAGTTATCAAGACGTATGGTCAACACTTTCTTAACCTCAATTTTGGACTCCGCAGATCCTTCAAGTGGGCATTTATCATTGCAGACGTCAAATCAGCAATCATAGGTGCCGACCTGCTTTCATATCATGGCCTCCTTCCTGATTTAAAGCACAAGCGCCTTCTGGACTCTCTCACCTCACTGTCTTCTCCTGCTGAAATGCATGAAACCGAACTTCATACTGTTTCCACTGTCAATAATGCAGAATATGCACCTCCTACACTCAGTCAACCCTATAGCAAGTTGCTGGAAGAGTTTATTGACATCACCCGTCCAAGGTCAGCCCCATCAGTGGACGCCCCTACAGGAACTCATCACCACATAGTCACCACTGGACCGCCAGTCAATGACCGTCCACGTCGGCTAAACTCAGAGAAACTAAAGATTGCTAAAGAGGATTTCGACCTCCTGTTGCATCATGCTGTTATCCGTCCCTCCAGCAGTCCATGGGCCAGTCCTCTACACATGGTCCAGAAAAAGCAAGGTGGATGGCGTTCCACAGGTGATTTTAGGAGGGTCAATTCCCAGACTGTGCCAGATCGGTACCCCATACCACTACCAGAAGACATCTTTCAGCGGCTGCATGGGAAAAGTGTCTTCACTGTCATTGACCTGGTTCGAGCTTACCACCAAATTCCTGTAGCACCAGAGGACATACCCAAAACAGCGATAACTACTTTTTTTGGGCTTTTTGAGTTCCTGGGTATGCCTCCAGGCCTGCGCAATGCCACTCAGACATTTCAACGTCATATGGACAACCTTCTCCGTGGTATTGACTTCGCAGCATGCTACATTGATGACTTGATAGTGTTCTCGGATTCCCATGAGGAACATCTGCAACATCTACGCAAAATCTTTAATGTACTGCGTGAGAACAAACTCCCTATCAACCTCAGCAAGTGCCAAATCAACAAGTCAGAAGTTATGTACCTCGGCTACTCCATCAACAAGCTCGGATACAAACCACCTGATTCCAAGATCCAAGCCATCGCTTCTTACCCCAAGCCAGAGACCATCTCTGACCTTCGTAAGTTTTTGGGAATGCTCAATTATTACCGTCGCTGTATTCCAAAGGCCGCTGAACTTCAAGCCCCTCTCAATGCATTTATGAAGGGTGCCAAGAAAAAAGACAAACGGCCCATCCCTTGGACACCCAGCTCAGAGAAGGCCTACCAAGACTGTGTAGAAAGCATTGTCAAAGCGACTTGTACCAGCTTCATCTCACCCTCTGCAAGTCTCGCCCTCGTCACTGATGCCTCGGACTTCGCCATTGGAGCTGCACTTGAACAGCTGATCGACGACTGCTGGAAGCCCATAGGTTTTTTTTCCCGCAAGTTGAGTCCCACCGAAACGCGATACAGCACCTACGATCGCGAGCTGCTAATGATTTTCGCTGCAATAAAGTTCTTTCGTCACCAGCTGGAAGGACGCCAGTTCATCATCAAAACTGATCATCGCCCACTGGTATACGCCTTTGCTCAGCGCGCTGAAAAAGCATCCCCCAGACAGCTCCATCAACTGGACTTTATTTCACAATTCAGCACAGAAATCATCTATGTCAAGGGAGAACACAACGCCGTTGCTGACGCCCTGTCTCGTATTACCGCTATCTCCATGCCAACGTCACTGTCTCCTAAAGCCATCGAAGCCGCACAGCTTGAAGACCAAGATACGCCACAAGAATCATCGCTCAATCTGCAACAGCTTGTTATTGAAAACGCCAACGTCCTCTGCGATATCTCTTCAGATCGCATCAGACCCTACATTCCAACAAGTCTCCGACGCAAAGCTTTTGATGTTGTGCATGGTTTGGCACACCCCAGCGGTCGAGTCACTGCTTGAAGCCTCAAAGAAAAATTTGTTTGGCCTGGAATCAAGAAGGACGCCCTCCAGTGGTCCCGCCAATGCATTCAGTGTCAAAAATCCAAAATTCAACGACACAATAGTCTCGCACCACAGCACATCACCGTACCTGACAACAGATTCGAGCATATTCACCTAGACCTCATCATTTTACCACCAGTCAACAAATTTCGTTACTGCTTAACCATAATCGATCGATTTTCTAGATGGCCTGTTGCAGTACCCCTCCAGAACATGGAAGCTGACACCGTCTAGTCTGCTCTCTATGTCAATTGGATTTGCAACTACGGAACGCCACTATCCATCACAACTGACCAGGGCACGCAATTTGAGTCTTCACTATTTTCGGCTCTTGCACGCCTTGTAGGAGCGCGGGTAATCCACACCACGCCCTATCACCCGCAGTCCAATGGCATCGTAGAGCGCTTCCATAGGACTTTGAAGGCAGCCGTTATGTGTCAAGCACCCACGCCCTGGACGGAAGTGCTTCCGACCGTTCTTCTGGGTCTGCGTACGCGCCTGAAAGAAGACCTGAATGCCTTACCAGCGGAGCTCCTTTATGGGACACCCCTGCGTATACCTGGTGAATTCTTCACCTCTGAGTCACCCCCAGCTGATCCCCAAGTCTTCCTCGAAAAATACCGGGACCACATCAGGAAAGTCCGCCCAACACCTACGGCTCACCATATCAAATCTCGCTGCTTCATCGTCAAGGACCTCGCAACTTGCAGTCATGTCTTCCGCCGAGTGGACTCTGTTCGTCGCCCGCTCGAACCGCCCTACACTGGCCCGCATGAAGTCGTCAAGAGAATAAATGACCGAGTGTACAGCATTCGAATCAATGGCGTTGAGAACACTGTCTCTGTGGACGCCTTGAAGCCAGCCTACACCCTTAAACCCGATACTGTTTCATCCACCCTGGAGAATCACCCAGCGTCATCCTTCACCATGGACCTCCCTCTTCGCACTTACTCAAAAAAGAAGGTTTCGTTCCTCCCACAAGTGGCTTCGTCACTGGGAGGGGAGTAGATGTGGCGTCCTTGTTCCGCGAGTCCGTTGTGTTCAACCCTGGATGGCTCAACTATTGTGTACAACCCTGGCGGCCTGACGTGACGTGACAGAAGACAGCTGTCCCAGGTTGTTGTTTACTTCTAGTCAGCTTGTTGCCGCGCAATTATGATATCGTGTTGTTGTTAACAAAATAAAGTATTTCGATTTATTTGTATGTTCAGTGCCCAGAATTAAACCGAGTTATTAGTAAAACAGTGTTTTCATTCGCTGGTGATATATCAAGCAAACACATAGCAGTAGTAGCTATAAGTGTTATATTGGTGGCGCCATCTATTCAAAAATCATAAATTATTGTTATATCGAATTTAGATACAGAAATACCAATTAATTAGAATACCAACGTTAGACTAAGTAGGCAGTAGGCTAAGACTGTTCAAGAATTTGGAAAAAAAATTAAAAAATTGAAAATTGTACCAGATATGCCAACGTCGTACCAGCGTACTTCTTTAAAGCGAATGGTACCAAATTTGGTGCAATTATACCACCTCTGGCAACACTGAGCGCAGTTCCATAAGGAACGTTCATTTGTTTTCAGGCTTTTGCTGTAGCAATTTGATCCACATATTTTCTTTTGTCACCTCTGTATTTTAATAAATAAAATGAATGTTTTTTAAAATACAAGTTTCTCTGAATCGAAAATATAATTAGTTCTCGTTAATACAGTTTGTTGATGTTGATATTTTTTTGTTTGATAAATTATGGGCATTTAGGTATTTGAATTTAAATGACTTGTTTTCAAGATTGTTACAAAATATTATAACAAATTATTGACGAATACACGCTATTGTTTTGTATTATTTACTATTATGATAGGTAATTTTAGATGTCTGGTGATTTCACTCAATCAAAGTTTAATATTGTCAATAGAATTTAGACTATTAAACACAGTTACCGAGCATTAGTAAGATAGCTATTTGCATTTGCATATATATTTTTTTATATATTCGGTGTATCAGCTAAATCAAAATAACATTAATTTTCCTTACAATTAGAAAACAATTTTCTCATATAACTATGAAGTGTGATACCATACCTATGTCGTTGAAATCGGGAAAAAAATATATCGTCCAATAAACTTTTATTTTACCAGTACCAAGTATTGAACCAGAAAATAAAATCAAATGTTCAATGTGATTTCCTATTTTCATGGAAAGTCTTAAATAATTACCTTATTAATATGGGAAAATTAAATTTTGATTTTTCAAACAAAAGTAGCCCGGAAATGTGTAGTGTAATAAAAAAATATCGATCTCTACGAATTTGGCGGATAACTCCATAATTCCCATCATCAATGGGACACCCTATACATGATTAAAATTAATTAAAGGAAAAAATCCAACAAAATAGAGACTTAAAATAAATATTTCCAATGATGCGAGGTAAAATAATAAGGTATTTTTTTATATAGCCTCGACTTTGACAACAGTCTTTTGTCAGCTTTCAATCTTTCGATTTTCAGCAGAATAGTTTATTTTTTACCAAAAATGATTATTTCTTTGTGTTTAATTGGTTTTTGTACATGTGCATTTTATCTGCATTTTGTTTATCGCAACTGGCAGTATCTCAAGTTTTCTTGGCAAGTGAAAAATGGTTTCTGGTATCCTATATTGCCTCTAATTGGTACCATGTATGTCAGTTTATTTTCTGAGTCTAGTAAGTAATAGGTACCGTATTTCAAGCGATTTTTGACTTGGTTCTTTTAATTTTTAATAAATTGCTTTGAATGGTAGGTAGTGGTAGGTAGGGCAAAAGAAGATTGTAAATTATAAAAATGCAGTTATTAGTAAATTCTTTAGTTTGAGTGATGATGACTGTTATTTAATTGCAAATGTTCAACTTTTTGTGAAAAGATCAAATTACTTAAGATCGCAAAAAAATTTGTTTACTAAAATTCTGTAAGCTGTAATATGTTTTTAAAAAATAACTGAATTCCAGGTGTATCACAACACAATGTTATTTTGTGAATCACGAACTGAACATTGAGCAGTCTAAATAATGATAAGATAATTGTATAATGCGTTCTTTTGGTAACATTTAAATAATACATATTTGCATAAATATTCTCTTATAGAAATTTTACAAGGCTGGTTTGTTTTTTGAAAGTCTTCAAAGCGTGTCGTCCTAATATTAAGGCAAGCTTCAACAAAGATTCACCGATTCAGCCGATTATATTTTCTTGCATATTTTTTCTCTTAACAATTATTATTTAATATATTTTTCTTTGCAACCAATTAAGGTGGTACCTAATGATAAATAATTGTATTTACCAACCTAATTACGCCTCTAATTAAATTTTGTAAACAAGATAGAATTTTAATTTTTAAAACTGTGCCTACCTTCCTATTTTTCATAAAAAATAATAACAGTTTTTTATATGTAAGGAATAAGATGATATAAAATTTCGCCAGCTCTATATCATTTTGACTACTAGATAATTTTTTAATAGTATCCCATATAGCACAAAATATTTTTTGGATATTTTTTTTGATCCAACAGTGGATATTTTTTGAACAACGCTAATAAAATATTTTTAAAATATTCGAACAACATTTGTGACCACACATTGGTTTGGAAATGTTCAAAAAATGTTTTTAAAATGTGTTCAAAAAAACATTAGTTTTACAAAAATATCCAAAATAATATTTTTAAATGGATATTTTTTGAACATCATAAAAACATAATAAAAAGAATATTTTTTTCCCCACATTTGCTGAACATTTTTAAAACATTCGGTCTCTAGAGTCTGGCTCGAGACTTAGGGCGGGTTTTATAAAACTATGTTGACAGACTAACTTAAAGTTAACTTCTGAAATGACGTTACTTCTCATAGTAATTCCAAAAGTTAACTTTTAGTTATCTGTTAAAATAATTTTATAATACCCGCCCTTAGTCGCGCTCTATCGCTCGAACGGCTCGGCTATCAAAAATTCCAATTATAAATTGTGCGATTGTTTTGGACCGTTCTAGAACCACAAAATCTAGAACCGTCCTTTTTTCGAACCAAAACAAAGCTTTTGATTTGATTTAATTTGTCCAGATTTTGCTTGCCCGTTTGCTGTTTCTAGGCGCCATATACCTACCTGCTACCGCTTGAATTAATTCGCCGTGTTGTCAGCTAGTAACCAAGTAACCACTGTAACGGTAAAGTAAAAATTTACCGTTACCTTGGGGTCGTATTTTCGAGTATTCTCGCATACAAAATTTGATAAGATTTCAAATGCTTCCCATTTAATTTACATTGCTGTCAATCAAATTTCGTGTACGAAATGTACTCGAATGAATTCGAAAATACGACCTCTGGAAACCCATGAAAGCTTATAAAACGGTTCTGGCAATACTGGTAATAGTTTTGTGCTACTTTTTGAGGGGGGCCCGGCGAGGCGACGGGCGCCGACGTGTTATGTGTAGTTTCAGTTTGAGTCGGGTTCAGCTAGAGTGAAGTCAATATATTGATTTATTTTGAGTATTTTGATGCGTATCCGTTTTATTTATTTTTTCCAACTTTTGCTTCCGTTTTGTGAGGTTTGTGTGCGAGTGTAGGTACGTTATTTGGCTCTGAGAATAATTGCGATTTCGATTGAGGTCCACGGTAAGTGGTATTTATATCAGGGTTTTCCAACGAGGACTTAAAACGGGGAGCCTCTTTTTGAATCCCCTTGTATTTTTGTGAGAATCCAAGATAGCCATCATCCATGGCGTGTCTTATGTTTTTGGTTCCAAGATTTTTTGATACAATAATTAAATTCTGCAGGAACATGAGATAGGTATTTTGGATTTTCTCAAAAATACAAAGAGAGTAACAAGAAAGATAGAAGAAAAGAAGCCTTTGATCAATCCTCGTTGGTTGGAACACCCTGTATCTATAAAAATGATATTGATAAATTATAATCATACAAATTACTTCTTATTGCAGGAAGAAGAAAGGAGCTGTGGAAGAGCTAGGCGCAGCTCGAAGGGCAATAAGCCATAACCAGGCAGGTGCTGAACTGAGGGGCAATAACTTGGATCAGAAGCATATGCACAAATAAAAATATTTCTGAGTTTGATTCTGAGTTTTAATTACCTAATAGGAACCTACCCATAAAAATTACCATCGTAAATGTTGGAATGATGTTTTCAAAATATTTTAAAAATGTTTTTTAAATATCGTTTTGATGTTCACAAAACCAATATAGTTTTTTCAATGTGTGGAAAATATTTTATTTACATTTTTTTTTAAATGTTCCACAAAATATCCAAAAGACGTTTTAAAAATATATTTGGATATTTTAAAAAGTTTTTAAAATATTCTCAAAAATATCATACAGATAGAAACATTTTTAATACATCGTTTCTGAATCCGCATTTTTTTTTTTTTCGATGATGTTCAAAAAACATTTTCATACTTTCTAAAAATATTCCTAATACATTTGAAAAATATCGTATGGATATTTAAAAAATATCGATTCGTTACCGCAGAATGTTCAAAAAATGTCCTAAAAATATGTTTTATGGATATTTGGATGTTTCAAAAATATATTTGATCCGAAAAAAAATATTTTTTGAAGCTTCAAAAAATATTATTTGGCTATATGGGATATTACATACCGAGTAGGAAAGTGTTTCATTACTGTCGAGAGATTGACTAATACTCTCGAGACAGAAATGAAAACTTTCCTCCAAGGTTTGTACAGTAGAACCTCGATTATCCGAGCTCTGAATTAACCTAGCCAATCTAATATTAGAAGAATGAAAGGTATTTTGGGCTGAAATCAAACAATTGCTATTTGCTCAATATATGCGTATATTGGAACAAATGTTGAACCAAAACTAACTTGGCAAAATCAAATAAATGTATTCATACATAGGAAAACCTCGAAACGTGTTTACATTAACACCCTGAATTTTAATGATGTTTTGATAAACAAGTGACACCAAATAAAATATAAATAAGGGAAGTTTAAGTTTTGCCTTTATAACTATATAATATTAAATTATTATATTATGTAATAGAAATATTGATATTCATATATCTAATACTCCCACGCAAAAATTAAACGAAATAACTATAGTATCAAAAAAAAAATATATATATTATAAAGTATAATAATAAAAAAAAATTAATAAACAAATGAACAAAAATATATATATATTTAAATAATCAATATTATATATGAAAAAAATTTTGTTGGCTAGATTAAACCAATATTCTTCCTTATTTCTTTGAATTTGATTGCTGGAAGTTTTGTGAAAGCATCGGCCAACTGTTCAGCTGTAGAAATATATTTTAATGTTATGACATTTTTCTCTATTTGTTCTCTTGTAAAATGATATATGATATTTAATATCGATATGTTTCGATCTTTTATGATAGACAGGATTGTTGGCCATGCTAATACAGCTACTGTTGTCCTCAAACAGGGGTATAGGATTAATAATTTTAATGTCAATACTTTTAAACAGTGATATGATCCAAATAGCTTCCTTAACGCATTCAAAAAGTGCCATATATTCAGCTTCTGTAGTAGAAGCAGCTACAGTATTTTGCCTTTTCGAATTCCAAGAAATTAGGCAATTCTGAAAAGCTTTGAACAAGTATCCTGATGTACTTTTTCTATCATTTTCACAATTTCCCCAGTCTGAATCAACATAGCCAACAATAATATCTTCACAATTACCTTTTGTGTACGTTAACTTGAGCTCAAGAGAACCTTTAATATACCGTAAAACCCTTTTCAATGATTTCCAAAGTTCTTCATTATTTTTACTTTGATAACGGCTCAATAAATTTATAGATATACATAAATCTGGGCGTGTACAGAGCATGGCATACATCAGACACCCAATTAAATGTCTACAGGGTGCGTCATAATAAATTTCTGAGTTTAAAGCAGTATAATTTAATTTTGTTGGAAGAGGGCTATCTACAGGTTTGCGTTCACTCATATTAAAATTAAAAATTACAGTTTTTAGATAGGAACATTGGTCTAATGTGATTGAATTTTGTGTTCTTTCAATTCTTATTCCTAAAAATAGTTTTACTTCATTCAGGTCGACCATATTAAATTTTGTCATCAAATATTTTTAAAAATTCATCATTGTGGTTGAATCATAAGTTGCGATCAACAGATCATCAACATATAAAACCAGGTAAATATTTTTCAAAATACTACTCTTATTTAAGAAGTAAAGACAACGGTCTACCATTGAATTTTGAAACCCTGCCTCTTTTAAAGTAATGTCAAATCGTTCAAACCAGCACCTTGAGGATTGTTTTAAGCCATATAATGATTTATGTAATTTACACACTTCATCATTTTTCGCTTCAATCCCTTCTGGTACTTTCATATAAATCTCTTCTTTAAGTATGCCATTCAAAAATGCTGTTTTGACATCCATTTGGTGTATCAATAAATCATAATTATTTGCAAACGCAAGTAAAAACCTGAATGTTGTTATTCTGGCCACTGGGGCAAAAGTTTCGTCATAGTCGAGTAAATACCTTTGACTAAAACCTCTTGCTACCAGACGCGCTTTATATTTAATTGGGAGGCCGTTTTCATCATTTTTTATTGTAAAAACCCATTTGCATTCAACAATATTTTTATTACTTGGTTTTTTAACTATTGACCAAGTTTTATTTTCTAACAATGAATTAATTTCTTCCTTGATAG